AAATTAGCTGCCTTTGAGTTATTAGCAGAGTAAGTTACTCAAAGTGATGTGTCTGTGTCACAGGCTTGGGATCAGAAGCATGGTGCTGGAATCATCGGACAAACTGAGAGCCACGGGATTCGCATTTACGACTTGGTTCAATGCTTGGAAGGCCATGGAAGCTCTCGGCGTTTCGGAGCATATTCGCGATCTCCATGATCGCCTTCAAGGGTATCAAACACTATAACTACTAATATGAACTCCGTAACAAGGAAACTTATCTTTTGTACTTGATGCAGATGGGTGGTGGGATCCATTTCATCCGGAGATCCTTCTAAAGAGATGTTGTTTCCAGAGTCCGAGTATGTTTCTTCTTCTCTCTGTGGACAAAACATATGAACGTTAAACAATAAGGATAAAACTTTAAATCTTGTTGAATGGTCTTGTCAGAGAATACGAGTCTCGATGCGTTCAGAGGGAGCTCTTGTTAGAGGCTCTAGCGGGTGAGTTGCCTGAAGAGACCATACGGTTTTCGTCTAAGGTTGTTCATATCCAATTGTCTGGACACTACAAGTTGGTTCATCTCTCCGATGGAACTATTCTCAATACCAAGGTAGTAACTAGTAACTAGTAACTACTCATCCTGTCTAAATAATCTGAGACTAGTCTTGTTACCCGAATGTGGATTTTCTGAACGACATTCAGGTTTTGGTAGGGTGTGATGGTGTGTACTCGGTGGTGGGCAAGTGGCTGGGCTTCAAGAATCTGGCTACAACTGCCCGGTTAGCAATCCGAGGGCTCACACATTTCCCGACAGGCCATGGATTTGGGAAAAGGCTCTTTCAGTTTTATGGCAACGGAGTTCGTTCGGGTTTTATCCCCTGTGACAACAACACCGTCTACTGGTTCCTCACCCACACCTCTACCGAAATAGGTAAATGGAACTTTACCGGATATCTATTGGTTCTTGTCCATATCCTCTACTGTCTTGACTCTTCTCCTTGCGCTTGTTAGATGAGGAGGCAAGTCCAGAAAACCTCAAACAGTTTGCGCTGAACAAGCTCAAAGACTTGCCTGAAAACATTAAGAATGTCATGGAGACCACCGATCTTGATAGCATATTGATGTCTCAACTGAAGTACCGACCTCCATGGGAACTCCTATGGGCAAATATCACAAAAGACAACGTATGCGTTGCAGGGGATGCACTTCACCCAATGACTCCTGATATCGGACAAGGAGGTTGCTCGGCCATGGAGGATGGAGTTATCCTCGCTCGTTGTCTTGGTGAAGCTCTAAAACCTACCAATCTGAAAGGTGAAACAGAAGATGAGGACGCGAGTTATAAGCGGATTGAAGAGGGGTTGAAGAAGTACGCAAGAGAAAGGAAATGGAGAAGCATTGATCTTATAACTACAGCATATACAGTAGGTTTCATACAGCAGAGCAGAGGGAAGTGGATGAACCTATTCAGAGACCGGTTCTTGTCGTCTTTCCTTTCTCGGTTGCTGCTGAAAAAGGCTCATTTTGATTGCGGAAGCCTTGTCCCATGAGCACGCAGAATGGTAGAGCATAGTCAAAAGCTTGTGCTTCTCATAAACTATAAACTTCAGACCAGTTTTCACCTTTGCTTCCAAGGTTTATCTATAGCTGTGTTTTAACGCTTTTATGTATTTCATATGAACTCTCAACCGAAAGGAATAATAAAGTGACAAGACAAGGTTCAGTAGCGAACAAGAACCAACAAAGAATTCGTTTACTTTTAAGGGCAATCTCAGTTCCAATATTAACAAGTGATAAGAAAAGAAATGACATTTCTTCAATACACCATAACAAAAGGTTTTACATTAACGTATGCGAACTAGAAAGCAACTAATAGGCTCAGTTAAAAGTGTAAGACCTAACAATGTTGCTTACAGACTCTGCAAAGGTTCTCGATGTGATCTTTTTCCCAGGAACGTGAAAAGGGTTTGAGACGGCATCCACATATGCAGCATGGAACTTCCTGAAGAACTGTAGACAAGTGCAGAGAAGAAGAAGATATCATCAAAGAATGTAAACAAACTCTTGTTGAAAGCATGAACAACCAAACTAAACAAGGAAGTTGAAAGATTCCCTTGTATAAATGGCTAGGCACAGATACATACACTTCTGACATCTGTGTCTCGGACATCCAAATCAGTAGTGACCATGATAAACTTCACTTTTGTATTAGTCAAGTAACCATAGCTACAGGGGAAGAGAAAAGAGAGTGAGTATTTGCAGGAAAAGATGTCACATGAGTATAACAAAATTCTCCATATGCTTACACTTTGTAGTTGAGTGTTGGATAAAGCAGACCAAGAAAAGCCTCGTTCAATGTTGTACCTGACTTTTTCGGATTGTTCACTAAAAGGAAAGAAAAGTATCAACACATCTAGAAATGTGGCGAGTAAGCAAAAAAAACAATCGAGTTTGAAGCAATTGAAGTCTCAAAATTGGAGAGGAAAAAGAACCTCGCTCATCGATGACATCGAGGGAGCAATGGACGATGTGGTGGAGCTTAAGGGCATCGTCAGCTTCCGTGAAGCTCTGGATGTAAAGCGGATTGTTCTGTTCGGAATCGGATCCAAAACGTGAGGGGGTGAGAAAATCATCACAGAGGATCGGATCAGATCAGAGCAAAAGGTGAAATGAGAGGAAGAACCTGGTGGCCGACGACGGCGACGCAGACGATCATCTTTCTCCGACTCCGAATGTTGTTGGTAAAGGGATCCCGGAAGCTGTCGCTTGTAGAGATAGATCTTATATGGGCTGGGCTTTAACAAATTCCTCCTGTATTTTGGGCCTTTCTTTGACTTTAACCTTCATTATCTCTCTTACAACTTTGAGATTTGCCTGTGAATGAATCCTTTTGCTTCAAAAGATGTACATTTACGGGGGTGGACATAATTTCCGTTCCGTCCCGAACTGTTCCTGGTTATGAATTCCCGTTTCATAATGGACCATAGTCCCATATGATATAAGCTATCGATTTCTATTTGGGAATAGAACGAGACGGGACGGGAATGAGAATTTCCGAAATTCCATTTGTCCCGAAGTACATATTTACTTATATAAATATTAATATACTATATATAAATTTCCTACTTTTTTATACATGTGAATGTGATGTTAGTAACTTTT